GTGACTATAAGTTTCTTCGACTACAGGGCATAAGTTCTTTAGTAGAATTGATGGATTTTCACATGCTACTTCCATCCATGGTTACGGCTATTCTTGTATGAAGTAAAATAAATGTAAGGACAATTAGATATATCACCTAAAACGTAAAACGAACTTTTATTTGAGTATTTGGTATTTTATGATCGAAAAAGGCACGTATGATACAGTGATGTGTTATTTATGTTTAAATATGGTAGTGAAAGTTTGGTTTTGGTAAAGAAGCACGAGAGTAGAATAAATAATGCAAAAATGCGGTCATTAAAATATAGGAGTGACTATGACAGCTAGCAGCTTGACTTAGACAGGGTTTCGAAAATGTACGATAAGAAAAAAGTTTAGTTTGCGAGACGATGTTTTGAACATAATTAAGAAAGAAATGCTTCGAAGACAAGCCAAATTAAGAAGACTCTTAACCGACGAGCATGTATGCTTAGGTATATAAATGTTAAGAAGGCGAGAGAGGTTTTTCAGGATCGTCCATAAGAGTCTCTGCCTACCCCTCTAGGTGACAGAGTTGAGTGTTTATCTTATATGTTATGTTTCATGTATATTATGTTATTCTTGAATCTTAAGAAGTAAAGAAATCCTCAAAACTATTAATATTAGTAGCTACGCTCGGGTCCGGGCACGCATTTCTGTGACTCAGTTTGGTTAAATTTAGACAGAAAACATGTTTTTTTTTATATGCAACAGATGATTCTGTTTTTTGAAAAAAAATAATTGAATGCAACGTTAGTTAAAATTTCGAATATATCAGTGATGAACTTTTGGAGATTAACAATTTTACTTATATAAACTAGCGCTTCACCCTGGTTGCGATTGGGTAGGATCTTTTAATATAAGATTGTTTAGATTGTAAGATAATCAAAGATAATTCATTCGAAAAATCTCCCATTTTTTCGAAAAAAATATAGCTTAGATTAATTTTGGTATTACTCTATCTGTTCGCGACGTTTTATTGCAATCAGTTCAAATTTAAAAATGATTATTATAAGGCAGTTTCTTCCATAGTACAGACAGACAATTTTATTTGTATGTGTATAGATGTATAGATAGTGTAAAGTAATTTATTCTAAGATATTCGTCGCCATATAAATTTGTTAAGCTTTATAGCCTTATTTAAAAATACTAAGAACAATTTATTCGGAAAATCGAATGGTGCACAATATATCGTGTGATTTGGATAAATTCGACCCATTATTTCGGCTGTGGATTGTGGTCAATATTGTGTAGATTATCGGGGTTTCGTGTCACGTACAAGGTTTCAAGGTAGCTTTTGAAATCAGTTAATATTTGGCTATTTTGCAGAAATCTGAATTCAGGGCTCATAATTATTTACCAAAAAGTAATAATTATACCATTTGTAGAACGATAACTCAGTGTGGCAAAAACATAGATTTTATTAGTATAAAATGTAGTGACGCCGCGCCGTTAGAATCAGAAAAATAGTTATCTCTTTTACATTAATCCGTAGGTATCGTAAGATGCAACAGAACCAAATGAAACAGTAGATGGGCAGAAGCATTTTTCTGCTAACAACTCAAACTGATAAAAAGTTAAAATGTCGAAAAAATAAAAATGATAAAAAATGTATGTACACTTTTCACACGCAGTAGAAGTGAAACCTAAATAAAACAAAACTACAATAGAATTAGACGAATGCAGAGGTATAAAATAGTTGAAGGATTTATTTAGTTAAAATATATATAAACTGTATACTATATCTCATTCTCTCGCAAGCTAAATCCTAAAGATATGTGTACTCGTATAATATGTTGCTTTTTAGTTTCATCGAGTAACAACGATTCTAAAGAATATTTCAATAAAAAAGCCGCAATTACAAACCTGCCTGCAAAGTGTGGAAACTACAATGGAATATATATTCCTACAAGGCTATCTATTGGTTGCGCCCTCCTTTCTGCCAAGGAGGGTCGCGTTCGTATACGGCTTAGAGATCTCTAGTTAGACCGTTAAGCCAGTCCCTAAAAGGTGGGGTTTATTGGGTAAAAGTCCCCACATAACCACGCAGCCGGCTGCGTGGTATGCTATGAGCATTCCCCACCTTCCTCCCCCGCTTTCCGGAGGGTTGCCCATATTTGCTTCAGGTGCAAAAAAATCTATTAGCGAGGCTAGTGTTTAGCAGCGTAATTTTGGTAGGCTTTCAAGAATTAAAACGAGCTTAAAGTTTAAAACAGCAATTAAAAAAAAAATCCGAAAGCTTAAAAAAGTTTACTGAAAAGGGAAAAAAATATTTTATACATTTTCACTATTATAAGATGAATCAAACGACACCATATGTTAAAATCTAACTATCCATTATAGAACGTTCCAAAGAAAAAGACATGGTGTAAAAATATTTTATATTTCTCAATGGTGGTGTGTGGTATGTTGGTTAGGATGTTACTGAAATTATTATTAAAAACCTAAATGACTTTCTTTTTATAAGCATATATTTCTGGATTTATCTTAAACAGTATTTGGCTAGGACATGATCATACGTTATGTCGACTATAAAATATATCGGCAAATGAGTACCGATAAATAATTCCACCTTAAATAACTATGCGATTCTCTTCAAATTGTCCTACTGATGATGTTTAAATGCATGTTGCCATGGGGCAACTCGGTGGCTTCTTGTTTAAATCGAAGTTGTTAAAGCAATTGCAAGGAATTGTTAGTTTTAAACGGAACAATTTTTTCTAATATTCTTTGATAAAATACAAAGAAAAAAGGTCGTATGACTTTTTACGATAAAGTTAATATTTTTGAGTTATTAAATTTTAAAGTTTTGAAAAATCCCATTTTCGGGTACTTTTCACTCATTAAAAATATATCAAGAAAAAGAATAAAATGTGAAAGATATTTTTATTTTGTTTCATGGAATACTAATAAAAAAGGTACCATGACTTTTTACGATAAATTTAATATTTTCGGAGCTACGAATTTTAAAGGTTTGAAAAATTCCACATTCGGATTCTTTTGGCTCTTTAAAAATATATGACGAAATATAATAAAATATAAAAGATATTTTTTATACTACGTTAACAAACAACCTTCCTTAAGCGAGAATTAAAAATAACTCATCCGCTTATTCCTCCTGGATTATCGCAACTTCATTATTAAAACAGATTCTAGTATAAACCTGTGACTTAATCAAACTACATTTTTGTAATGGATAGTGTGAACAAGCCATTTTATATACGATTAATTAAATCAATCAACCATGTTGTGGCGTGGCAGTGTAAGAATATCCATTACCCCATATCGTCCCGTTGATGTGGTAAGAGGCGACAGAGGGAAACAATCCAGGAGATGGGCAGCAGCATCCTTCCAATAACAAATATAACATGGAAAACTACGTTTGCCAACCTGCTTGCCATACGTAGCCATTATGGAAAACATCCGCCTGTGAGGGAATAAAGAGTGCCTGTTTTCAGCACTGACCTTAGTAGGCTATAACGATCTTTTTTTGAACGTCCATGTGTCGTATCAGTCCGGAAAATTTTCCGATGGTAAACTATTCCACAGAGAGGTCGCCCGACGGTGGTTGACCGACGAGCATCCAGATGGTCTGGATGATATCGAGAGTTTTTCCGCGTAGTGCGTTCATGTAATATGGCGGCTGGGATTAATCCAAACAATTCCTCAGAGCACTCCCCGTGGTAGATGCGAAAGAAAATGCAAAGAGATGTTGCAGCGCCAGTGAATCGAGCTGATCTTCCGATCAGCACTCGATCGTCGACGATTCGAGCTGCTCTGCGCTGGATGCGGTCAACTGGAAGGAGCTGGCACTGGGGAGCCCCAGCCCAGGGATGGAAACAGTATTCCAATTGCAGCCGAACCTGCGCCTTGTAAAGTCTCGCTCTGCTGAGAACGCCGAGCCAAATTGACCTTCTCTTCCAAGTGACCACAAAACTGCACGTCACTCGATATGTCAACGCCGAGGATTCCAATACTGGCTGAGGCAACAAGGGGAGTGCCTTAAAACTGAGGAGATACGACTAAGGGTTTCTTTTTAGCGGTAAACGCGCAAACTTGTGTTTTCTGAGAGTTAAACTGGACTAGATTTTACCGCCCCAATCCGAGACTTTGTTCAGCAGAGACTCGACTTCAGACACAAGTTTGTCCCGATACTCGGAGACGTTTACCTGAGAAATATTGGCGCGGTCGGTGTATAAAATAATACAAGTGCTTTCGTCCGCTGAGCGATGAATGTTACCGGTTAGCAACAACATATAATTGATATGCAGAAGAAGCAGCGTTGCTAATATCACGCAACGTTCTGGAACAAGAGAGTTAATAGACTTGTAATCAGAGCATGCACCGTCTATAACGACCTTGATGCTCCGATCTGCAATAAAGCTGGTGATCCAATTGCACACTTTCTCGAGAAACCCATCTGAAAGGAGCTTCAAAAGAAGTGCTTTGTGCCAAACCCGATCGAAGGTCTTCACAATGTCCAAACTGACGGCCAATGCCTACCCCCTAAATAACATTAAATAAATAATAAATAAATATATCACAATTATAAGTTAGATTTATAAGGTAGAGCCACGCTGCAGCTGTATTAGAGACAATTCCAAATTCCATCTTAGTCCTTAAGAGGTGACAACGCATCTGCATTTTGATTCTTAATTGGAGAGAAATATAGATGTCTATGGACCACAGCATCCAATTACCATCAGGTGGCACTAGATGCTCGTCGTATATATATAATCGGATGCTGTAGTCCATAGACATCTACATTTCTCCCCAATTAAGAATCAAAATTCAGATGCGTTGTCACCTCTTAAGGACTAAGATGGAATTTGGAATTGTCTCTAATATAGTTGCAGCGTGGCTCTACCTTATAAATCTAACTTATATAACATATTACATAATGTAACAAACTAAAACAAAGAATTCGATATGTCGTTATGAGTGCATTTTTATCTGGAAGCAATATTTACCGAAAAGCTTACCTAAATTATCTGCTTTATGCAATGGGATGACTGCCACCCACAACATGATGAAAAGTCCTTTCCGTCGGTCCATTTCAATGTCGTTATGACTTCACCAGCACATCATTATTATCACTTTTTAATGAATTATATATACTTGCACTTCTTCACTACAATTGTCCATAACATTAAAAGTTTTCTTACATTGTTATTTCAGAGTCTTTGTTCATTTTCAATTCTTTACTAAATTAATAATTTTACTACTACTAATGAGTGACAAATGTATCCATCTATTTGCGTTGAAATACTATTAATTACAATTAAATGTAATGCTAATAACTCACCAATAAAATGTTATTCGGTCGTAGGACTCAGTCTCCTATTCATTTATTTCATTCTAAGGATCCATCGTAGGTAACTAGCTCTTACCCAAAAATCTTTGTGTAAAACATATAGTTATAATAATCGGTGAAAAGGGAAGCGATTAAGGAAATAAGAGAGGTGTTCAGACATAATAATGGTATTTTTGAAAGAGGTTTTTAAAAATACGGCTTCCATTTTATTTCAGAGAGAAAATAAATGAACGTCGACTTCCTTAGGAAATGCTGATTTTTGTTTCCTCTGAATTAAAAATATCGAAATTGAATCGTAAAAAAGTGCGTAAATTTAACGAAAGAAAGTAAATAGGTCGTAACATCATTAGATTCGTCATTATGATGGCAGTAGCTGGTGTTATTGCGTGACACAGTAAGTAAAATATCCCTCAGCTTCACAATATTTACTTAACAATTAAACATTTATTTTGCATTTTTGATGTAATTATATTTTTATAATTTTACGAATTTAAATAACAATAAGGTATTACTCTCTTTTTGATAAATTGATTTATTTTAAAAACCTACCAGCGCAACCAATCACAACACGTATAAATGATGAATTCAGTACAGGAAATAAAAAAATATGCATAATATATTTCTAATTTACTTTTTTGCTTGTTTATACAAATATGAATTCATCTGTTTTACGAGTTCTGGACTTCTTGATAGCAGCAGAATTTTTCCGCGCTTATTTTCGGTCAATAATTTGCAAGTAATTTGCACTGTAAAACATTAAATACAAAAACATTGCAAGTAAACTTACAATCCACCCGATAGACAGTGACTCCAGCCAATTTCAATCATTTCAAACAAAAAGACTTCAGATGCGTTGTCACCTCTAAGGACTAAGATGGAATACCTCACAGTCTTCTATTATAGTCGTTCTCTGTAAACTATACTTTCAGACGTGGATATAAGCGTTAATAATTATTAGTTTAATTATGCATGTCTTAATATTAAAGTTACAGCTTTTATCCGTCCCATAGCTGAGCACAGGCCTCCTCTCATTTCTGAGAGGGTCATGGGTCGTGGTAATGCAAGTAAACTAGACAGTAATACAAATTTTAAGTTGTAAAGTGTGCCGTATAAAAATATTTACTTACGAAACTTTTTAACGATGGGCTTTTGAATATTCAATCGATTAAACCCTTCCTAACTTATAGTTGTTTGGCGGCCTCTCAATTTTTATAGTGATTGAAATATTTATAGTGAATTGGGCTGTTTGTGCTGACTAGAATAGTTTATTACTTCAATATTATCTAGTGTCACTGATAATTTTGATTTGATCTATGTATGTATTAAGTTTAAGTTTATTAACATTTAACCCTGTAAAAATAACAATAAATTAATAAGCGATAAAAATAATAAAAGAAGGCGAGTAAGAAAATATTTTTACAATGTATAAGTTTCAAAAATAATTTTAACTTAATGACAAATTCGCGTGCGGGGCAATAAATTTAAATATCAAGTCGTATTTTCTCACATTTGTATTCAAGGACAGCTGAAGAAAATTCCTTTATGAAAATGGCCTCTCTAGCATTTTATTTCCATACTCAAAAGGAATTACAAAACATTTAACGAATAATATATACGTAAATAATACATAATAAGAATTTTTATACCTACGTGGTAGAGCTATGCTGCAGATATATTATGGTTGTAGCACGAATAGGTTGGCTCGACCGGGGTAGGACCACGTTCTCATAGAATACCAACGTAAAATAGCAGCTTGACAAGGCTTTGTTTCCTATGGTGAGTGTAAAGAACTGGAGATCCCATTTATTGGAAACGATGCATTACATCTTAGTCCTCAAGGGAGACAACGGAATCTGCATTTTGATTCTCAATCGAGGATAAATGTAGATGTCTACGAGTCACAGCATTTCATTCCATCAGGTGAACTGTGAGTTCGTCTTTACCCCTTATTTTATAAAAAATACAAAATTATTTACCAATTCATAAATGAAATTTTAGGATAAATGCTTAAAATTATTAAAAATAAATAATAATATTACTTTTTGTTCTAATATTTATTATCAAAGATGTTCTAATAAACGATTGTGATAGGCGATAACTTTCTTATATTATCAGGAACCATAACTATTATAGGATTCAATATAACTCAAGAAATTATAGGACGAATATCTATCAAAAGAAAGCCTACCCATTCCTAATGGAACGCTTAGCCGATAAGATATGAGAAGTCTATTATGCGTTATTAAAGACCCGAGGCTAACCATTATACGTGGAAGTGCCACGATGCAGCTTTGTTATGCTTGTAGTAGGAAGGGGTCGGCTGGACCAGAATACCACCACGCTCTCACAGAACAGCAGCGTAAATTTGCAGTTTAATGTTTATGTGTCATATATGGTGAGTGCAGAGAACCGGAGACCCTTTTTACTGTAATCTAGGTATTCAATCTTTGTACTCAGGAGTGACAATGCACCTGCATTTCGATTCGTAATCAAGAATATAATATGTAGATATAAATGAGCCACAGTATCCACTTATCATTGTTTTTTAACCATTTAAAACATTGAAAATATATAGCTAGACCTGAAACCAGCAATCACTCTGAGCTTTTGTAAAATTTAAGTCTCGTTGCAATTTAAATCTAAAACACGTAAAATATTATTCAGGCTTCTAAATACTAAGACGCGTGACCGTTCCTATAACAAACATATTTTTATTATAGAATAAGGGTTAAAAACGAGCTCACATTCCACCTGGTGGTAAGTGGATGCTTCGGAATGTAGACACATACATATTTTCTCCATTAAATATCAAATTTATGTAAGGAGTCACCCTCAAGACTAAGATGGAATGTCTCGTCAGCAGCGAAATAAGTCTCCAATTTTCTACATTGATGTAAACTAGATATGAAAAACAGCAGCAATAAGCTACTATTTTACACTTGTGTTCTATGAGAGCGTGGTCGTTAGCCGGTAGAACTGAGCTGTTTATGCTGCAACCATTTAATATAACTGCAACGTGGCTCTACTCCTATGTATACAGAGGCGGCGTAAGGCGTGGGCGACGTGGGCCACCGCCTACGGTCTCGCGATCCAGAGGGCCTCGCGCCCTGGAGGTTTATGCATTACTTAAAACCGTAAAGACGCCGAAAAAATTTCATTGTCATGAATCGATATTATTGATATAATTATATATGTTTTTATTCAGTCTAGCAACAATAGTTTGCGTTGCTATTGCGGCGAATCCCCGCTGCGGGGCGACCAGTTATATACCGTAATCTATGGGGGCGACAAAGTCTGAGGATTCCCCGTTGTGTTTGTTAGACATAGAATACTGAATTTATTTAATCGTGGGCGCGTGGCAATCGAGTAAAGAGTGCGGTACAGCAGCACACGTGGTTGCTGTATGTATATGTCCGCGCTATAGGCACATGAGTAGATAAACGGAACAGACAAAACTCTTCTTAAGAACTTGCAAAATTGTTACTTATTTTGGTAGGGTTGTCACTATAGGTGAAGACAAATTAAAGCTAAGCAAAAACGTACATTTTGTGACTGGATTAAAGAATATAAACACTTGTTTCGAAAAATGTTTGGTAATTAATGGTCTACTGAAAAAAAAACTGTTATGATCTGCCAAAAGACTTTTAAAATAAAAGAGTAGCCAAAAAAGAAAAAGATGTTGGATTAACCTACACATTTAGGTATGATTTTCATTTGTTTTAAGTATTGAATTTTGGTTTCCACAAGTAAAAAAATATTCAAACTCTAAGATTAAATAAAGAATAGTGTAGTGAAAGCAATGATTCCTACTAATTATGTGAAGAATCACAATTAACGATTCCTTATTTACCTAACTTCGTAACAGATGTGAAACAGCTTCTCCGATAAGTTACAGAAAATAATTTAAAAAAATATACCCAAACATTTACATCGTCATTTAACAATACCGATCAGTACAGGCCCCGCTGAAGAAAGCTTCTTAAAATTAGTACTGATTAAAAATTATCCCAGGAATGCAATGTCACAGAAAATACTTTCAGCGTTGAAAGTATTTTATCTATCGAGGCAGATATAGCATCCAAGCTTGATTATGAGACTATAATTAATTCAGCAGGATAAAAAGCAGAATATCTTTTTCTTTATTTTTCTTTGAAATTGTTTGGTGTTGGTACTTAATGATTTTGTAAAAATAAAAATTTCATAATGTCAAGTGTTTTGTTTTCCATTTTATATAATCCTTCTTCTTGCGCGGGCAGAGGGCCTCGCAAAATGTATCTTGCCCACATCAAATTTAGGTCTTGCGCCGCCACTGTACGTATATTATAATGTCGTCTATTAAAAGCACTGTAAAAGCTGCAAAATGAGAGCTTGAGTTTTTAGGGGTTTTCCATACTTTCCTTATATTCCATATTTTTATATTTATTTCCATATTTTTAAATTTAGAATCTACATAAACAGTGAAATTTTGATAGTACTTGAAATGGCGACCTAAAAACACAAAGTGAATTAACAAATGTAGTTGACATGGTTTGTAGTCCTACCTCCTGTCAACCTTATTGTTAAAAAAATTAATTCTACTAATTTGTGTGGAAATGTTTTCACTCATTTGAATTCTTTCTATTTCCTATCACAAATTTTTATATAGACTAAAATGTTTAAGTATGAAAAAATATGTACTAAAATATAGTAATAAGTTTGAACTCACGGAGTTTGTCATTGAACAGAGATCTAAAAACTAACT